GGGGCGCGGCCTCTTCCCGGGGCATGGCGCTGGGGCGTCCCCAGGTCCGGGTGCGGGCAGGGGCTGCGCTGCCCGGGAAGGTGTGCCTGACTCGGGACACGTTCTGCTCCGCGGGGAGTGCGGTTCCCCTGCCATGCGTCTCATCCGGGTGACGCTCCCTTCATCCGAAAAGGGGATCAAAAAGCACCTGTCGTAGGGGAAGTGACTTTAAAATAGGCTGAAAATCCAGCAACGGTTAGGAAAAAGTCCCCGGGCCAGAGAAAGAGTTGGCGAGGGAGGAACAGACCACGTCTTCCTGCAGTCAAAGCGCTTCCCACGTTTATATCTCAAGCCGGACGCCGTTGTAGGTACCTGGCCCCAAACTTTCCCGTGGCCGCTTCCCAATAAAACCGGAGTCGCCGAAGGAAAACTCTTCCCAGGGCAGGAGGAGCGAGTACAGCAGCGGGTAACCCCCTCACCGGGGGCCGCGGCGCCAGGCCCTCTGATAACGCCTCTGCCTGGCAGGACCTCGACCCCGTCCCCGTCCCGCCTGACCGAAGCTCCCTTTCCAGTGACCTCCGTGGGCTGGCTGGCGGAGCCTGGGTGTCCGAGCGCTCCGGTCGGGTGCGCGTCCAGAGGGGCAGAGCAGAGCCCTGCACCTCCATAACACGCCGCCTTCGGGAGTAACGGGGCCGGGCGGGAGCGGCCCCGTCCGTCTCCCGCGGCTGATTTCGGCTAGCGCACCGGTGCACCGAAAGGAAAGGAAAGGAAAGGAAAGGAAAGGAAAGGAAAGGAAAGGAAAGGAAAGGAAAGGAAAGGAAAGGAAAGGAAAGGAAAGGAAAGGAAAGGAAAGGAAAGGAAAGGAAAGGAAAGGAAAGGAAAGGAAAGGAAAGGAAAGGAAAGGAAAGGAAAGGAAAGGAAAGGAAAGGAAAGGAAAGGAAAGGAAAGGAAAGGAAAGGAAAGGAAAGGAAAGGAAAGGAAAGGAAAGGAAAGGAAAGGAAAGGAAAGGAAAGGAAAGGAAAGGAAAGGAAAGGAAAGGAAAGGAAAGGAAAGGAAAGGAAAGGAAAGGAAAGGAAAGGAAAGGAAAGGAAAGGAAAGGAAAGGAAAGGAAAGGAAAGGAAAGGAAAGGAAAGGAAAGGAAAGGAAAGGAAAGGAAAGGAAAGGAAAGGAAAGGAAAGGAAAGGAAAGGAAAGGAAAGGAAAGGAAAGGAAAGGAAAGGAAAGGAAAGGAAAGGAAAGGAAAGGAAAGGAAAGGAAAGGAAAGGAAAGGAAAGGAAAGGAAAGGAAAGGAAAGGAAAGGAAA